CCCTGAGATCCTGGCGTTGCATTTTTTTCGCCACGGGCGTTTTCGCTCGATTTCGGGCCCCGGGGCCCTCACATATCGATCCCGCTCGAAAAATAACTCAGAAAGATGGGGTCCGAGGGTCTGGGCGTGATTTCTTGCGATGTTGCAATTTTTCTGCAACGTCGGATCTCAGGGGGTGTGGTACTCGGAGGCCTGGAAATTAGCACCAACACCAACATAGAGGGGTACCTCCACCGGGGGAAGGATGATCTCAAGCGTTGGTGCCGGCAGGGACACTTCGGCAACCTGGGAAGCCCGAATATCGCCACCACCAGCGAGATCTGGCCCCTCTTGCCTCACTGGAAGCAACCAGCGACATTTGCGTGTCAGTGCCAACTCCCCCCCTTTGGGCCCCTGGAGCCCCTGGAGCCCCCCTTGCTCTCCCTGGGGGGCGACGGTGCGTCGCCGCCTACGTCTCACCACCACCCAGACACTCGATGGGCTGGCGGCAGGCGGCAGCTGGCTACACGGGTGGTGGTGCGGCGCGGCCGCGACCAGGAGCGCAGTACCAGGCCGTGGGCCTCCTCTCCCCTTCCTGGCCCTCGAGGTCCCTCCCCCCCCCCACCCTCCCCTCGTGGGCCCGCTGGCCCCCGCCTCTCTTCTTCGCGCCCTCGTTGGCGTCCTCCCCCCCCCCTTGGCGACGGGCCCAGCCACGGCCCCTCTTGGGCGTGCCCGCGGGCGTCTTGGGCTTGGGGTCCTTGTCGTCTCTTTCCTCCAGGGCCTGGGAGCCGCCTCCCTCCCTCCCGCGGGGTCCCTGGCCGCCCACTCTGTTGCGGTAGGCGGACGCGGCGCCGCGCGTCGCGGCGGCGCGGCCGTGTGGAGGCGCTGGATACCGTGGCGTGCGCCATGGGGTGAATGAGCGAGTAAGTGGGACAGGAGGAGGACGGGTCGCCTAAGCCCTTCGGAGAAACCCTCCACCCTGGCGTTGGTTTATGACACCCGGTAGATCGTTCAACCCTGGACTGCCAGCGGCTTTTCGGTCGCTGGGTCGTCCCACAGCGGCCGATCCTGGGCCACGGACGGCGTTCGACCTTGCACGCTCGCGCCGGGATCGCAGCCGTGGCGACACGACACGAACCTACACCGCACCGGCAAACCTCTTCTCCCCCTCGTGGGGGAACCCAGAAAAATTCTGATTCTGTCCGCGCTCTGATCAGAACTCCGAAGCGAATACAGCCGTGGCGACGAGGACCTCCCAGGAGGGCCGACGAGGCGAAAACGAGTGAAGGGCAGCGGTGTCCTCCTCTGACATCAAGGGCCTGTGGCAACTCACGGGAGCCTCCCATCCCATCTTGCTGGCTCTTGCGAATCGACGCTGCCCGACGCGAGTCGACACCAGTCGACGCTAAATCGGCACTCTCCAATCGATTGCCAGACGCTGGCGCACGCTAGTGCACTCTAAAAGAGAAAATTGTGAGGACATACAAGGCTCCCATGAGTTGCTGCGGAAGCCCGGGGAAGGAGGCTCAGAAAAACTCGGGACGTTGACGTTTGGGAACAGGGAAGGGAAGCGGATTGCGTGTCGCGCCGAAGCGTGGTGGGCAAGAACCAGCAGCGCGACACGCTAAGCCACATGTTCCCAACTGTATCCTCCTCTGACCTTGAGCCCTTCCCCTGATAGCACAACATCTTGAAGCAGATCAAATCCCGAGCTGCGTGGCCACAAAGAGCCCGCCACGGAACGTAGATCACAAGTGTTCCGAACGTGCGCGTCGCACTTTGCGTGGCCGACGCGCGTCTGATATTAGACTGTGTGTCTGGGAGGTGCCGACCGAAGGCACCCCCCTCCCAGACCCGCGACGATGTGACTGTTCCACAACATCCCTGAGGTCTGGACCCCTTCCCCCGGACTAGTTTTCCATCCTGGGCCGCTTTTTGACGGCCCCGAGGCCCGGGAAGGGCCCCCTCGAGGCCGAAACTCGCGAGAAACCTCCTGTCGCGACTCTTCTTCACGGCGCGAGGGGCACCGGGCCCCCCGGGAGGAGCTCCTCGTGCAGCGAGAACACGACGCTCCCGCCGCCCCCGCCGAGGTGCGCCCCCTGCCGCGGCGACAGCGGCGAGGAGCCGCCGCGCGGCGAGTTCAGGGCCACGGGGCCGCCCGGCTTGCGGCTCTTCTGCGCAAGGTTCCTCCGCTCCCCCTCCCCGCGGCCGCGGGCTGGCCGCAGGACGGGTCTGGTGCGGAATCCCTCTCTTGTGTACAAATCGCCTTGATAACGATACAAGCGACTCATTCCTCTCTACCTCCTCTCCTCCTCCTTCCTCTGCCTCTCACTCCTCTCCTACCCCTCCTTTTTTATTCTCTTCCTCCCTCCTCCTCCTCCTCCTCCTCCTCCTCCTCCTCCAACTCTTCCTCCTCCTCCTCTTCTTACAAGAATGCGGGAGGCGGAGGAAACGCACAGGATGCGAGCAAACAAAAATTACCCTGGCGAAGAACCGAAAAAAACCGGTCCATTCTACACTC